ATCTATCTATCTATCTATCTATCTATCTATCTATCTATCTATCTATCCCTGTGTGTCTGCAAGGGTGGTAATAAGGGGAAATGACAAAAGACAGGCAATCTCCAGAACTTTAGTTCATGGAATAAAATTAATATCCAGCCAGGTTGATCATTGGTGACAATTCTGGAAGTTGAAATATGAAAGTGTTAGTCTAGACCAGTGCTTAACAACAATCTTAGCCATTTTAAGATGTGTGGACTTCAAATCCCAGAATGACAATAGCAATAGCACTTAGTCTTATATACCACTTCATAATGCTTTATAGCCCCCTCTAAGTGATTTACAAAGTCAGCAAATTGCCCCCAACAATCTGGGTCCTCATTTTACTGACCTTAAAAGGATGGAAGGCTGAGTCAAACTTGAGCTGGTCAGGATCAAACTCCTGGCAGTGAGCAGAGTCAGCCTGCAATACTTCATTCTAACCACTGAACCACCACGACTCTTATTTAATGACACATTTCTTATTTAGTGGACACCTTACGACGATGCCTGCTGGGATGTTCTGGAAATTGAACTCCATACTTCTAAAATGGCTACAGTTGGGAAACACTGCTCTAGAATTTTGTTGAAACACAGTAAATTTCTGTCTTCTTTCCTCAATCCCTGTGTGTTTGTCTGCATGTGCATTTACTATATAAATATTAATATGATGATAGATGATATGAGTATGAGCAATGTAAGTCTCAATGGACTCTCTCCTTACCTTGGACTGGAGTTTGATAAACAAAGTGATGGTCTCCTGTATTTGAAACTTCAGCCGTACCTTTGACATTTTCAAGCCTGCTGCAAAATGATCTGTCAGAACTATTATGCAGCGGGAAATTAATTGTTGCAAAGCCACAATGGCACTGAGGCCTTCTAATAACTGCCAAAGGGAATTCCTAATCAGGAAGAAAGTGAAGAAAATCAGGCTGTCATCCATAGTGGTAAACATCAGTAAATATTAGATACCCAATTTATTTACCCAATTTATATAGCCACCTATGTCACCAATATACCACTGGGTAGCATTCAACAATCAAATAAAACCACAATATAAAAACAATCATTATACAAATATAGACAATAAAATGGTTAATAATTTAAAAATCATTTAAAAATGGAGTATGCAAACCATAAAAAGAGAATTACAGTTACCACATATCTACCATATAGAGAGAGCCAGTTTGGTCTAGTGTTTTAAGGCACCAGGGTGGAAACTGGAAGTCCGTGAGTTCTAGTCCTGCCTTAAGCATGAAAACCAGGTGGGTGACTTTGGGCCAATCATGAGGGGACTGTGAGTTCTAATCCTGCCCGAGGCATGAAAGCTGCCCGGGTGACTTTGTGCCAGTCACTTTCTCTCTGCCCTATTCCTCTCACAGAGTTGTTGTTGTGGGAAAAATAGGAGAAGGGAGGAGCATTGGGTATGTTCACTTCCTTGAGTTTATTATTTATAAAAATAATAAAGGTGGCATGAAAAGAAATCTAAAACTATTTTCAGTATTATCCACAATAGGGGAGCCTTTCCCAACCCTAGTGACATAACCAGATCCCCCTTTTTCCTCATTTTTTATTTCTTTTTTAAATAGTATTTTATTATCTTATAAAATACAAAACCACAAAAACAAATAGTTGGAAGCAAAAGGGAGGGAAAAGGGAAGAGAGAAGTGTTGAAAAGAAGGGAAAAAGAAAAAAAGGGGGGGGGGTTGACATCTGACTCCCTCTGGTGCAGTACAGTAAGGCATTAACATCCATCCTCAACTTTTTACTTTTAAATAGTAGTACAAACCAAGGGTGGGATTCTACCGGTTCGGCCCAGTTCAGGCGAACTGGTAGCTCCAAAGATACAGCTGGGTGTGAACTGGTTGTCTCCGAAGATCAAGGTGTTTCCTTTTTTTCCCCACCACTGATCGGATGTTTCCTGAAGATCAGCTGTGCTGCGTGATTTAGATTATTTAGAAAGCAGGAAATCGTGGGATTTCTTGCTTTCTAGCTAATCTAAATCGTGCGGCACAGCTGATCCCCACCTCGTGGTTGTACTGCTTTGCCTAGGAGGTTCCCTGAGGCCCAGGAGGCAAAAAACAAAACAAAACCCCATTCCCACCCAGTCCCATGACCACCTGGCTACGTCCACCTAGCCACACTCACCTAGCCAGGCCCACAGAACTGGTAGTTTAAAAAATTTGCATCCCACCCCGGTACAAACTAACCATTTCTATAGCAACCAATCTATCTCATTGGTAAAATCCGAAGTCCAAAGTTTCATTGTTTTCTACCTCAAGCACAAGGTAGAAACAGAAGGACTTATTTTCTTTTCTCCGATCAAAACAGTCCGATTACCCATCGCCGCTAACTCCATCAACTTTTGCAGCCATTCATCCATGGTGGGGATCGAAATTGTCCTTCCAACGTAACCTAAACCCTGAGGGACTTTCTGAACATTAAGCAGGGAAGAAGCTACCCTAATGAGGGAAATTAAGTCCTGAGCTCTTTTGAACTTCATTTTCAACGTGTTGGAGCCTTTTGGGAAAGATGGTGTCAGATGAAGAGGATTAATGAGGCTGTCTGTGAGGATATTGAATTTAGTAGCTGGAACATTAAAGTGTACAGGAGGCCAGAAGACAAAGTTGTAGTTGATTAATTAGAGAATGCTGACTGTTGCAATCTACGCTATGATTGTTTGATGTGGGTGTAAAGGGGGACTTTCCCTTTTCCCTCTCCTTTTCTGTGTGTTCTGTGTACAGGTAGTCCTCAACTTATGACCACTATTGAGCCCAAAATTTATGTTGCTAAGTGAGACATTTGTTAATTGAGTTTTGTCCCATTTTACAATTTTTCTTGCCACAGTTGTTAATGAACTATTGCAGTTGTTACATTAGTAACACAGGGTTGGGTTTTGTATTTTTTTTGGTCTTTTAATGACCCTGTAATCCCTTGCATCGGGATGGAGTCAAGACAGCTGAATGCAGTTTAGTGTTTACTGGCTGGATGCCCTTCCTATCGCCAATGTGGAGTGCATTGTGCCCAAAGAGAGAAATAGCTGCCTCTACCTAGGTTTGAACTCACAGCCTCCCGATTATGAGGCGAGAGCTTCACCTCTAGGCCACTATCATTCACGGTTGTTAAGTGAAATCTGGCTTCCCCATTCACTTTGCTTGTCAGAAGGTTGCAAAAGGGGATCATGTGAACCTAGGAAACTGCAACTATCATAAATATGAACCAGTTTTCAAGCAACCAAATGTAAATCACATGATCATGAGGGTGCTGAAAAGGTCATAAGTGTGAAAAATGGTCATAAGTCACTTTTATCAGTGCCATTGTAACTTCAAACGGTCACTAAATGAACTGCTGCAAGTCGAGGACTACCTGTACTGTTTAATTTACCTCATGATGTTTCTGTATTTCTGACTATCTTGTGGTGTTTTTTTTTCTTTCTGGATGATGACAAATACTGCTGTAAGTTTGTATGTTCAATATATTTATGTATATAAAAGATTACAAGTTTGTGTTAGTGGCTCCAACTTCATCTGGACAGCTGCTGCATAATTCGATGACACCATCAACTGACCAAAACTCTAAATTGTGCAATCTAACACAATGTACAGTGTATCTACTCTGAAGTAAACCCCATTGAGTTCAATGAGACCAACCCCAGCCAACACATGAAGGATAGAGTTTATAAATTAGTCGTAAAATATCTGTCCTCCCCTTAGACAATCCTATGGAAAGTACCAAAAGCCAAAAAGATATGACTGCTCTTTAGAAGGCCAGATCCTGAAGATGAAACTCAAATACTTTGGCCACCTAATGAGAAGGAAGGACTCACTGGAGAAGAGCCTAATGCTGGGAAAGATTGAGGGCAATAGAAGAAGGGGACGACAGAGAATGAGGTGGCTGGATGGAGTCATTGAAGCAGTAGGCATGAGCTTAAATAGACTCCAGAAGATGGTAGAAGACAGGAAGGCCTGGAGGAACGTTGTCCATGGGGTCACGATGGATCAGACCAGAGGTGGTATTCAGCAGGTTCTGACCAGTTCTGGAGAACCGATAGCGGAAATTTTGAGTAGTTCGGAGAACCGACAAATATCACCTCTGACTGGAGATTTTACAGTATCCTTCCCCTGCCATGTCAACCAAGCCATGCCCACAGAACCGGTAGTAAAAAAAAATTGAATCCCACCACTGGGTCAGACACGACAGCAGCAGCAATCTGTCCTCAGATATTCATTTTGACACAAAACAATGTATTAAAGATGCATACATCTGTAAATAGGTCAAAGTAATCATTACGATTCCAGAAAAAAAATATTCAAATCTAATTCCTTTCTCCCTAACTTGTATCTATTCATAAATCCACTGTATGTGCTTGTTCTGATTTTGCATTAAACCTACATTTTTTATCTAAGGAAAGAATGTGTGTTTCTAAAACTGTTGAGGGTATTTGAATAAATACCTGTGCTAGAGATAAGAATTTTTACTGATCTGTATTTAATGATGGGGGGGGGGGGGCAATGCCAAAATTATACAATTGCACATCTTGCAAATGCTTATAAAATAATCCTCAGGGTTTTACAAAACAGACTTCACAGAATGAGAATTGTCAGGGATAAAAGCTGAATTCAGAAAAGGAAGGGATCATATTGCTTAGCATCTGATGGATAATAGAACAAGCAAGGGAAATTCAAAAATATGCCTACTTTTGATTGATTATTTCAAGTCTTTTGGATGGATTACAACTAATTATGCCTAGTGTTTAAAAACATGGATATAACAAACTAGTTCAACAGCTTATTATAAAATTTGGATGATGAGCAGGAAATGAATCTTGAATGATAGTAATTAATTTGACCTATAGTTAGAATGTAACTGTGGCGATGAGTGTACCATTGGAAGATCTGAAAAATCAGGTTAGAATAGATCATTTGTGGGAAAGCGTATCTATATGGTCATTAGGAGTCAACAATGACTTCAAGGCCCTTAATAATCAGATGATTTAAATAAGAAAAGGGATAACTGAGACTATGAGACTAAAATAAGACTAAGGATGTTGGAGGTCATAATGTAAGCATGATTAAATGTATATATGTGTATATATATATATGAACAAATGTATATAAGAATGTATATACTTGTATCATATTAGAATGAAAAACAAAAGTTATGTCAAAATGACTTCACCATGTTCAATGTTTTTAAACGTTATGTTTAATAAAAAACTACCGTGTTTCTCACAAAATAAGGCCGGGCCTTATTTTTTTTTGACCCCTGAAAAAACAGCTAGGCCGTCTTTTCGGGGATGACTTAATTCCCCCCCCCTTGCATCCTCAGGTGGGCGGGCGGCGACAGCTTGGATGTTGACCTCGGCGTTGGTGGGGCACTTCGTATCGGGAGACCTTCCGCCACCATTGCTTTCCCTTCTCCCTTGCTGCCACGGCGTTAGAGCAACGCCGCAGTGTTTGGCGCAGCCATGTGCGGCCAGTCAGGGCTCCTCCCTGCAACTGGAGCCCTGCAGAGACACTTGGCTTCAGGCGCTCCTGTCGCCGCCTTCCCTTTGCCTTCAAAGGTAAAGCCAATTATTTTAAAAATGACGCCCTACTACAACAAAGCCTCCCCTGCCCGAGAGGGCAGCCCAACCCCACATGAGGAGGTAAATCTCCCGGGGCCGCAACACAGGATCGGCCCACCTCGGGAGAAGTGCCCAGCCGCCATCCCTGCCTGGCGCCGGGCAGAGCGTGAAGAGCTTCGCCTGAGGTGCCCAGCACAGCTGACAGGCAGGCCCTCCTTCCCGGCAGCAAAGCGCTCACCAAGGCAGCGAGCGCCTCCCCGCCGGACCCTCTGCTCATCCCGCCAGGGCCGCGCCAGAGCTGTGTGGGCTGGGCAGAGCCAGGAAAGCGAGCCGCGG